CAGAAGATGACCATCTACTGTGACTACTACCCTGTGAGTCAACGCAAATTCAGCCACAAGTCTCGAAAGGAAACCCATATTACGAAGGAGCATCAACGACCTGGGCGACTATTATGCCGTGACTGCACCAAGGGTACGATGCGCTTGTTCGCGACTTCCAACTCGCTGAGGACCCACCAATGTAACCACGAGCTTGTCGCCTGCGGGATCAGTGAATGTACGGTTTTGGTGACCAGATCAAATTTGGCTCGCCATCGGGCTAAATATACGGCGAAGGCTGCTTCTGCTATCCCCTCCAGTACTGCTGGCACCAACACGGACGCGACCTCCAATCATGACGGACAAGCTCCATTTGTAGCCAAAAAGGTCTACCAGCCGCCTAAAGATGATGCAAGTCTTCGCGCACCCGGTGCTGCCCCAAACCTTAGCTCGTTTCAACGAATCCAGTTGAAACTCCTCAAGTGGTACAAGGACCCAATATCTCTCAGGAGTATTCTTCGAGGAAAAAACTCAAGCGATCACACGGCTAAGTTCCTGACGAAGTTGGAAAAGATGGGAGTCTGCTTTGAACTTACGCACGACGAGATCCGCAACAAACGTAACGGTCAATAGAATGTTGTGACGAGGTTTCTCGCTAGTGAGCATCTGAACCAGTTTACGCAGTTTATTGGCCAGTGTAAGGGCGGTGGTACTATCAGCGCTACTACGCGCTACAACCAACTTCGGCCACTCGTCAACTTGCTGAATTTCTACGTGAGAATCAGGGATTCGCGTTGGTAAGTGAATACAAGTATGTATCAGACGCGTCGATCATTGTGTCGAAGAAACGAGCTGGTGAGCGAGATATCGAAAAGAAGGCCGAACGAATCGCGGAACTACCGGACGTAGTGGATTTTGTGGAATGATTCTACGATGACTGAAAGACTGAGTTCAAGCTGCAGGTGACGTGATTCCAGCAGCTACACATATTAGAAGCGAAAATGTACATTGCTATTCGCGATTTCCTGCTTGAGCTACTGTTGTTGCGACTCCACCACAGAGGCTTTAACGTATGGTGGATATGCAGATGTTCAGAGTGAAGTTGTACAGTAATGGCATGTACACGTGTGAAATTGCGGAGCACAAGCCACAGTTTTTGTACGGGACATCCATCATGTACATCCCCAGGCATCTTTCAGGCGATTTTGACAACGTCAGAATGTTGCGTGGGGCACTTTTGAAAGAACAGTGCAGCCACACACATGATAACACCCTTTTGGTAGACGATTGCGTTTTCGTTGGTATTGATGGCCGTCCAGACAAACACCTGACTTCGCGTTTTGAGAAACTGGTGCAAAGAATGTTTGCCAAGCACGTTACTAGCCGTGACTGCCGAAGCATTTACACTACGTACGCCAACAAACACGCAAAGGTTCCAAGAAGATGTATAAACTGTCGCGGTTCATGTATCATTCATTTCTTACCCAGCAGCAGATCAACCGAGCAGACACATCAAGACAAAGATTGGCACTGGCGGAGGAACTGGGAAATCGCATCGCATCGCTTCTTGTATCCAGCGACAAACACGCGGTTCCGCTGCTCCAAGACATTCCTGGAACTTCGTATCAGGACACCTTAGATGAAGCTGCCAAACAAGCGGAACAACTATTCCAAGATCAGTTGACTTCTTCGCTATTAGACGATGAACTGCATAATCGGTTGCTCCATGAATATGAAGTGAAGCTTCGAAGTCAAGGATCTACATAGCCCCATAGTTAAAATATGATCGTGGCGTTTTTCTATAACCCCACAATCTAAATTTCGACTTTAGCAGTACCCAGTCGAGTACAGCAATCAGCTTTGCATCCATACCATTTAACGTACTTTTTCTTGTAGAAATTGACGGAGACATTCCGAAGACCAGGGTTTATCCTGGGCAGTTGATGCGATACGACTGCAAGAGCAAACTTCACATCAGAAACCCATACAACTGCCGCCTCCAGCTATATAACTTTCATTAGCAACCAGGAAACGCCTGTGTAACTCAAAACATCGTGCAGATAGCCTAGTATCCATTGCATGTTACTTGAGTCTTTTTGCGTCAACCTTTTCGACACGGCACCTTCCTCAAGACGAGTGCTGCTAATTATGCGGGAGTCAGCATCTGATGTTGCTTGCTGTAATTGCAGCACCCACGACAAAGAGAGCTTCCGCACATGCTGGTGGGGGTAGGTTGACATATTAATAATTTACTCGTGCGATGCAGTCGCTGCCGCACGCGTCGCCTGCAGCGGGAAAGCTACAGAAAGAGTTTGTCCTGATGAATGGTCAGCTCTTCCTCTTTTCGGCGTGACTGCAATACCCGGATCCACCTGCTACGTAATCAATGCCCTTCGATGACCGCAGCATCTTCGGTGTGGTGGATTCGCTGCTACAGATGCTGCAGATCAGGTACATGAGCCAGGATTCCTCAATCATCGCCATCATCTGTAAAAACTCACTAACGATGTGGTGTTTTCCGGTGCTCTTCGCGACGTCGTGGATGGCATCAGGGATGCTAGATCCTCGTATAAGGAAGCAACAGCAAGCTGCAACTAATTGCATGCAGTCTCGTTCATTCAATTTAGTGGCTACTCATAATTCTAAGAAATTTATTTCAGAGTTAAGGTGATGCCAGTGTGTGGGCCGTCCATTAACTAAAATACAGAATTCTTCCGTGCTTCTGCGAGGCTTAGTTGACGTGCTTTTTGCTGGGACGGTGCACCACATTTTCTGAACGCCACAATAAAGTTTTTATCGTGGATCGATAGTGCCAAGATGATCTCGACTGTATGTAGGGGAAATTGCCTTCTTCAACAGGCTTGCCTGTGGTAAGCTCAACATAGTTGACCGTAGCTTCTGCTGCGATGCCCCGAGATTGGTAGGCATTTCGATGCAATAGTACCCCTGCGCGTGGAACGCGAGAAAAACGAAGAGGAAGTACATCGCGAGGTTGATGAAATCATCGTACACGATCCAGGACCGCTTAATTTGGATGTCGTAGAAGTACTCGACCATGTCCATGCCGTATTCGGTGCAGTAGTGGGTGGCACATGGACTAACGAATCAGCGGTCGAACTCTGCACGGCAATACTGCGGGGACCTCACGAACCAGAAGATGGACTAGTCAAGAATTATCGTCCGAGTAACCACGAAGACAGAGAAGAGGATCAACAGAGATGCCATGGTTAGGGGTTTGACTATATATCCACTGTGACGCAGGAGACGCAGAAGAAGAATGTCGAAAGGCCAGGTTCGTCACGGAGAGCAGAACCTCAAATCAGGCGTACGCCTCAGCGCTCTGCACATCCAGTACAGCAATGTGTCAAATACGAGTTTCTCAACCAACGTGATCGGGATCTGGCTCACACTCATGGACACCACGCAACTCGCTGTGCGGTAGGAGTTGGCACGCAGAAGACATATCGAGCAGCGAAGCGCACCAGTTGGATTGGTGTGTGTGTGTGTGTGTGTCAGAACGAGGTGCATGATAGAGAAGAAGGTGATGTCCACGACCATCTGCAAGTCTTCAAATATGAAATGGTAGACGACGCTGCTGGTACAGCGTACCAACGAGAACAAGTAGCACAGCCTTAGACTCCGTTTCGCATTGTCGCGTCACCATGAACTCTCGGTGTATGAGCGTGCAGTCTAGAACGATTGGTAGAATTCTTGCACGGACTTCAAGTACATTTCGATGCCTTCGAGCCACGCCGAAGGAATAGACTTGTGCAGCTCCGTGGGTGCCGCAATATGATTCCGGAACGGGCAAACGCTTCTGCGAACTCGATCGGCTTTCGTGCGCAGATTAACCTGCTATTAATACTTGAACTGCTCATTGGAGCAGAGATCTACGAGAAGGTCGGTGACGTCACGCCTCAGAGAGGTGATGTAAACAAAGCCCAGACCCATGAAATACTCAATGCAATGTTCACGTGGAACATGGTAGAGCATGCCCCCTGTTATTCACAAGGAGGACGTTGACGAACCAGGTGAAGCCCTCAGGTGCTGGCATCAGCAGCGAGATCACTAAGCTTGTGGAGCTTCTTGGAGATGCATTCCTGATTTTATATGATGGTGGTGGTGGTGCTATCCAGCCCCGAACTAATGTCGCCCATCGAACACATAATCCCGGGCACCATCTCGCCGTTTAAAAGCCCCGCGTCATGTCGTCACCTTCAATAGTGACAAGGCTGGAGACCGCGAGAGTGTCGGATATCCAGCCAAGGCTCCAGCATAGTGTCCGAATCATACACGGGTACATTGCTTATCGGCTTAGCGCTCGCCCTGGAGTCTGCAATTTTATTCACGATACGGCGACGCAGCCCACAGCAACTTCCCGCTCAGCAAGAACTCCCATGGAGTTAGTCCATGCGGAACAAATTCTTCGTACCGTGATTCAGTGCTGCAGTGTGAGCTATACGACCTGTCACTGTAGCTGACAGTGCTATCGAGTCGTCTGCTCGATGGACAGAGGCACACACACCCAGTCCGGGCTTCGGTCCCAGGCGCTCGGATCAGTTGCTTCNAGTGCTGCAGTGTGAGCTATACGACCTGTCACTGTAGCTGACAGTGCTATCGAGTCGTCTGCTCGATGGACAGAGGCACACACACCCAGTCCGGGCTTCGGTCCCAGGCGCTCGGATCAGTTGCTTCCAATGAATTGGAGGTCAATGCTAGCTCTGGCAAGGTCGAGACGTGGTTCCCGGCAAGAGTGGATACGCGTGGGCATCGACAAGGTCTGTAATCGCGTGTTGCGTCAACGCGGAGTTCGGTAGAGCCATCCGGACGGGCGACATTGAGTCGGCCATAACTCGTGTTGTCGAGCAGGGACGGAGGCAAGCGATGGTGGAGGTGACTTGTGACGAAGGGGTGGTAGAGCGTGGGGTCCGTTTGTCCGTGTGCGAGGCGTGGTTGGTGCGTTGCGGTGTGGTGCGTAATGTCGTTTTTTGTTTGGTAGAGGGTTGTAGTTAGCGTATGGTGGTCAATTGGCCGAGCGGTCTAAGGCGCCAGTTTAAGGCACTGGTCCGAAAGGGCGTGGGTTCGAATCCCACATTGGCCAACTACTTCTTTCTTTTCTCGCGCTGGCCACTGGCTTCGGCCCTTTTCGCCGATTTACATACGCCGCGACGTTTCCGCTGGTTCCGACCAGCTGCATACCGCTCGACCACCTGCTAACGACTCGATTCGCGCGGGTTCAAGTCCGTCCCGGGCTCGAGTTACAATGTCAACCTTTGTCAAATGGCCCGTTCTCGTTGGGGACACGACCGACTTGAAGTGCTGCAGTGTGAGCTATACGACCTGTCACTG